CAAACCCACCAGCCACTCCTCAGAAGGAAGGCTGGGCAATCCTACTTCTGTAGACTAGACTAGACTCTGGTTTGCCTGGTGTTTGTTTACAACCATTAAATCCCAATTTTATAGATGAAGAAACTGAACTTAAGAGAGGAGAAATAAGCCCCCTTGAGATTACACAGCTAGTACATAGCAGAATTGGGCTCCCAACCTAGGTCTGTAAGTGCCCTAAGCTTTGTTCTTTTACCACACTACACCTCTTGAAGAAAAGAGGCAACAAAGGATAGGTGTCATGGGTTTGTTCCTCAGGTAGAGGTGTTCTAGAAGCAGAGAAACTTCAGTTACCAAGGCTCTTTATGCCATGAAGGAGGCAAAACAAACAAACAAATAAATAAATAAAGCTCATTTGATTGGGGAATAAAAAAAAGAAAGAAACCCATTGAGGCCATTACAAAAGCTGATGCTGGATAAGCTCATGGGAAGAGTTAGGGCTGAGATTTCAATATCCAGAGCCTGAAACGAGACATTTCCAGATGTCAGACTTGTTTGGCTTTGATGATTGGGTATTTGAACAGCAGAAATTGGTAAAAGAGGAATTGGTGAATGTTTGTTGTCTGTGATTGTTTTTAGAAAACAGAAAATTGGAAATGATTTAGAAACTGGTGCAAAAGGCAGAGAGGTACCATGGTGCCCAGAAAGAAAGAACAATTAAAAATGAGTAGAAGCCCTTTAAACTCTGACTACAGCTCTATGCTAAGAATTGCTTGGCAAAGTACAGGCAATTTTTGGTTTTTCCGTTGTATGCATCCCTTTTGCCATTTTAATGCTAATATCAGTGGTTAGCAAAACAAATGTAATAAATGTTCTCCCTAAAGGACCGTGATTACGGCGTCCACTCTTCAGGTCCACGATGGAGCTGTTGAAAGAGGATTTTTCGTGTTCTTTTCTACCTCCTCACTAGCATTTTGATAGACAGAACCCCATTTCCCCAGTGGATAAAAATAATGCATGGAGTCACGTCTGTTCAACTTCCAAAAGAGAATTTGGGGAAAAATTAATTTGGGCCCCTGGGCTTGACTAGAAAGGGAAATTTCCTTTAGAAGCCTTTTCTGACCAATATGGTCCATCTATCTCTGGCGGCCGCTTCTACTTCAAGACTTGGGAGCATGGCTGGATTCTCACCACTGGAGGTCCCAAACAGTGAAGCCCTTGTGGCATGCACCCCCATATGTATTTAAAACTTAGAAATACAAGGCCATACAAGAGGTGTAAGGAAATCCAACACAGTACCACCCCCACTGAAATATCAAATATCAAATTCTTGCTAAAAATAAATGTTGGTGCCCCTTCTATGCCCTGAGCATAAGTATAAGCATAGCAGCAACTGGGGGGCACCCCACATTGATACATGCTTAACACTCTGTTCTTGTACTTCAATGGGGGATTTAAAAAAAAAAAAAACACTGTCATTGAGTCGATTCTGACTCATATCGACCCCCATTGGGTTTCCAGTTACGAAGTAGACTGCCTCATCTTCCTCTGGCGGAACAGCTGGTGAGTTCCAACCGCCTACCTTTTGATTAGCAACCCAATGCCTTAACCACAGAGCCACTGTTGTTGTTGTTGTTATATGCCGTTGAGTCGAACCCGACTCATAGCGACCCCTCCTTGGGTTTCTGAGGCAGTATCACTACGGAAGTAGATTGCCCCATCTTCCTTCCGAGGAGTGGCTGGTGAGTTTGAACCGCCAGCCTTCTGGTTAGCAGTCAAGTGCCTTAGGCACCACGCTACCAGAGCTCCCACAGAGCCACTAGAGCTCCTCAATGGGGGAGAAGCATCTTCCTCTTCCTGAGGGGTTCCCAGAGCAAGAGCAGTAAAGTCACTCTCAGGTTCACGTTCCAGAGCTCCTTGGGGGGCAACAATGGTTTCTCCTACTCACATTCTTGTATCATATTCGGAGTTACCCAGGGCTGAAGTGGTGCCTCCTCTTCAGCTTCAGGATTCCTGAGGCAGGCACCCCTTCCCCTTAGATTGGGCCTCCTCAGAGCTGAGGTGTCTCCCCTAAAACGTGCGGTTGGCCAGCGCCGGGTTTGAGTCTCACCATCTGAGGGTCCTTGGGTCAGGTGTACGAACTCTCCCTCAAATGCCAGCTCCTGCGGACGGGTCTGCTTTTATGCACACGACTAAGGGCTTCTGGGGGCAGAGACCTTCCTTCTCTCTCAGATTCGGGGCTCATCGGGGCTGAGATGGGATCTCCCCTCAGACTCAGGGCATCCGGGGGCAGGGTCGGGGCCCGCCCTCGGTCACGAGCTGTGTCGCGGCCTCCCCCGGCGTGGGGGAAGGGGCTGCAGGACCAGCAGCTTCTCTACGGCGGGAGGGGGGGGCTCTCCTGAGGCCCTGCCCCCTTCGTGACATGCCCGAGGTGTCCGGTGACCAAGACACTCTTAGCTGGGTGCAGGGTGCGGCTCAGGGCGTGGTCACCGGGGGCTACTTAGGGCGGCCGGTACGCGACCGGCACGGAGGTCCGCTGCGAGGCTGAGGGCACTGGCACTGGCCATGGCGTGGATCCTGGATTGCCTCTTCGCATCGGCCTTCGAGCCCCGCCCCCGCCGTGGTGAGTGGGCCCCGAGTCGCTGGGGCTGGGGTGCGCGCCTAGGGAGGCGGCGGCTGCAGCCCGGCCGGGCGCCCTGGGCTTGGCTCGCTGCCCCTGCCTCCCTTCCCGCTGGCTTTTAGCTAATTGTTCCTGGCCCGAGGGACGGCCCCGTCGAAGCCCCGCATAAATCACCAGCTTTGCCTGGAATGGCGAGCAATCGCGCTAATGGCTCAGCAGGACGCGGGGCGAGCGCGGAGGCGGAGTCGCTGGCTTGGCTGCCCTCAGGGACCGCCAGAGCACGGGACAAGACGTGCCTAAAGGCCCAAAGATTAATGTCTCTAGCACAGCGGCCAAAGCCCAGGGACCCTGGTGATGGAGGTGGGGTTTTCTGGTGAGCCCTTGAAGCTTGCCCACTTGTCCCAGTCTTCACCAGATTACTAGCATGGAAAGGTCCCTGAGAGTCGTCGAGTTCAACCCCTTTTAAGAGATGGTGACACTGAATACTAGAGATGGGAAAGGCCTGCCCAAGGTCATACAAGGAGTTGGCAGCACATCTGGGTCTGCTGAGGTTCTGCCAACTGCCCACTGCCTCAAACTGCCCTGTGGCTGAAGCCTGGTCTCTTTGGTCTGGGTGGTCCCTTGGGTACTTGAGATCAATGTTTGGTTCTCCTGTCCCTGGGGAGGTGAGGACATAGGTGTGCAAAGATCACAGCACGAGTGTAAGTACATGCATTGCATTTTGCCCCTTTCCTGGAACTATTTTTACACGTTTTCAGAACAATTTTTTTTTCTTCCTTCAAGTTTCAGGCGAATTACATTTTCTTCTTAGATTCCTCGGGACCCCCACCCACTGCCCTTCACTCCCCCTTGGTAGGCCCCACCCCCTCCATGCTGCCACCTGGCCACAGGGCCACCTGTTTTTCCATAGTCTCCACCTCCAAAATCTATATTGGTGAGAGTGCGTCATTGGTCACCAGCCATAGACCAAACCTGGGATTGTCTCCTCTTTCCTCTGCCCCCTCACAGGCGGGGGAGAGGAGGCAGGGAGAGGAGGAACCTCAGCAATTTAATTCCGTAGAGACCTGTTTTTTGTTCTTACCAGGCCCTGTTGAGAACCATCCCTGGAGTCTAAATTCCTTATAACAGACTGTACCACACTTAGCAAGTTCAAGTACAGTGTTGAACTGAAGCCACAGATCTCTGAGAAGGAAAGAGATTTGCATGCACATGGAAAGTTTAATTTTTTGTTCTGTTTAGCTTTTCAAGTATATATATGGTCCTACCAAAAAAAAAAAAAAAAAAAAAAACTCACTGCTGTCGAGTCAGTTTTGACTCATAGCGACCCCTCCTTGGGTTTCTGAGGCAGTATCACTACGGAAGTAGATTGCCCAACCTTCCTTCTGAGGAGTGGCTGATGAGTTTGAACCGCCAGCCTTCTGGTTAGCAGTCAGATGCCTTAGGCACTACGCCACCAGAGCTTCCATACGTGATCCTAGTAAATAAAAAAAATAAAATAAATAAAGGAATATTGTAAAATGTGCTTTAAGGCCTTACAGGGCTAACACTCTTCCTTGAAAGGGGATAGGGGACCATTGTACCCCTTCCTGATCTACAAGAATGTTGGGTGATTCTAATGAGATAAGCAATATGGAAGCTCATTTATGAATAACCCCATGTGTGTGAGAGAGTGATGCTCAGTATCACACAAGGAAGCTCATTCTCATCTAAAGACCAAAGCAAAGCCCCAGATACCTAGTTGCCATGGAGTTGATTCCCACTCATAGTGACCTCATGTGTCAGGGTAGCACTGGGCTCCATAGGGTTTTCAGTGGCTGATATTTCAGAAGCAGATCACCAGGCTTTCCTTCCAAGGCATCTCTGGGCGGTCTTGAGCCTCTGGCTTTCAGTTGGCAGCTGAACATGTTAACTTGCACCACCCAGGGACTCCAATCATGCCTATGAGCAGGTTTTTCATCAACCTGAATCCAAATCTATGTCCTGGAAGCTTTTACCTTCTGGCTGTGGCACTGACCTTCAGGTCCCAGCCCTCCTCTTCCCTCACCCCCCACTACCCTTATCCAGGCCAAACCTCCCCAGTTCCTTCATCTGCTCAACCTGCGATAGGGCTGCAAGGCCCCTGCCCACATCTAGCTGCTCTTCGGCGAACATGTTCCAACTTGTGAATGCCCAGTGCCCTGGCCAAAGGAGGATTTCCAGCCACCCCCACTCCCCAATTCCATAAATACAGTCTTGGATGACTGGCTTTTCCTCTTTTGGAAGCCCATGGCACACCCACGGTGCACACTTACATAGACATAAATACACACATACATACACATTCCCACACCAATGTGTGTCCACATGCAAAGGCATAACACATACACACAAATACATATACACCAGTTCGCACATGGACATGTGCATGCACAATACTGAGGAAAAAGCACTCTCACACACACACTACTCACACATCACATACTCCACATATATCACATACTTCCCACACAGAGCTTCCATACGTGATCCTACCCACATCACACACACCAATTCCATGCATGCACACTACAAACGCATCACAAGTTTCTTTGTACTGGATTTATTTTCAACTAAAGCTACTTTTTTTAAAAAAAAAGTAAACCCAAGTTCTTTTTGGAATCTCCATTTTGCATTTAGTTGGTTTTTGAACCCTAATGCAAGATTTATATTCACTACTGCATTTCTAGGAGCTCTGGTAGCGTAGTACCTAAGGCACTTGACTGCAAACCAGAAGGCTGGCGGTTCAAATCCACCAGCCACTCCTCGGAAGGAAGGTTGGGCAATCTACTTCCATAATGATGGTGCCTTGAAAACCCAAGGAGGGGTCACTATGAGTCGGGTCCAACTCAAGGCACATAACAACAACCACAACAACACTGCACTTCTAATCTGGGAGATTTGTCCCCCCCACATACCCTAGTGACATACTACTGCCTCCACCCCTCTGTTATTCATAGCAATAGCAGCTAATAGTACTTCCCAGACACTGTGCCCTAGGCTCAGTCCTTTACATGTATAATCTTACTTAAGTCAAGCAACATCCCTTGGAAATAGGTAATTAGCCTTTGGGCACAGTTTTTTGACCAGGTGAGAACCTACTTCACTACCCTCCCCCTGGGAAACCCTGTGCAATGGGAAGGGCAGCTTTGTGGGCAACTATTGATATTCTGTCGGACTATAAGTGCCCTTGGTGCCTCCCTTCAAATGCCTTCCAGAAATCCTCAGGAGTCAGAGGTGGGTGGGTGGGTGGGGGAAACTGTCCAGTGACTGGGCAGAGGGGGGGAGGTGTTCTAAATGTTCCTTCACCTCTCTCCCCTTGCTCAGTTGGCCTTTCAGACCAGTCTTCTCAGGGTGACAATGGGTAATGGGCAACGATCGGAAGGCATTTGGGAGAGGCATCATTGGGATCTGGGAGAAACGGTTGCCCCAGAAAGGTCTTCTTTCCCAGGGAAAGGAACAGCAAGATTGACCCACTTGAAATTCTCTCCCCAGTTCGCTCTTGGCATTGGATTTGGCTTCCAACAATTGGACTTCTGTAAAGCAGCCAAAACTCTAAAGCTGAAGAGACCCTGGGGCCCACTTTACATACAAATTTGATCTTTTCTTGGAGATGAGACCCAATCGATCTGCTGAGGCCAGGTCTAGTTAAGCTGCAGGAGGATCACTTTCCAGAGCTGGGATGGGTTGGCCAATTAGACACCCCACTCCCCTGGTAAGATTATCAAATGAACACTCCTCTTTACCAGTGGCAAGACTTCCCAAAGTTTCTTTGTATATCACTGGTTTGCACCTCAAAAGACATTTTTCTGTAGGGGAAAAATGTGATGCTCTGAGCTTAGTTACCCAGGTTAGGGTTAGCCCACACTCTACCCAATATGAGGATGTAATGCAGGAACTGTGTGATGAAAATTGGCAAAAAATAATACTCTTGCAAATGTACTTAAGGCTCCAGCAGAAGATCTGACGTTCATCAAAGCTTAAATATCAAATGACAGAAAGCATATTGGGCATTAATAGAGCAGGACACCAGGTCCCTGAGGGTGAAAGCACTATTACTCCTTTTTTTTTTTTCTCTAACAATTATCTACTAAGACAACTTAAATGTCCAACTATTTGGAATGGCTGAATAAACTATGATATATCCACTTGTTAGATTAGTATACAATCATAAAATGGTGCTTATGAAGAATATGTAGCAACCTGGAAATGATACAGCTACAGCTATCTCAAATATACATTTTCGAAAGACTGGGAGAAAATTCAGCTAAAGGGTCATCAAGCTAGAGATTGCATTAAGGTGGTGGGATAATAGGGTTTTATTTTTTTCCCTTTCTGTTTTCTAAAATCTCTATAAAATTTGTTCTTAAATTACTTATAATTGACAAGGTTTTAAAATTCTAACTGAGAGCCTATGATAAAGCAAATAAACTGTACAATGATCCAGAATATCATAATAATCTCAAGATGTTTTTTCCCTTCAAATCGATTTTAAATGAAATGATGAGATCAGATCAACTGAAGGAGTTGCCCAATGATCAGGAAATGCCACTTATCACTGGAGGGGGGCTTTGGAATTGGGCAGAACTGTTTTGAATCGCAGATCAGCTCTTATAGTGCTACTCTAAGCAACTTAAACTCTCTAAAAAGAGTATAATAATGCCTATTTTTCAGGGTTGTAAATAATAATAGCAACAATAATAACTGTTATTAGTGTTATTGATGCCATTTATTAAATGCCTTCAGTGGCTCAGGTAGTGTCAATGGCTTTCACTCTACTACTAAAATCAATTCGAAGGCATGCAACAGCAACAATTAACCTAAAGGTTGTGGGTTTGAACCCACTCTGTGGTGCCATGGAAGAAAGGCTTGACAATCTGCTTCAGCCAAGAAAACCCCGTGGAACAGTTCCACTCTGTGACACATGGGGTTGCCATGAACCAGAATTGACTTGATGGTTTTTTTTTTCCCCCTTGATGGCTCAGATT